TAGTTTGCTGTGTCTGTGAATTTGAGCCTCAGAGTGTAGCCACCAGCACCCCCACACTCAGCTCTTTAAACTAGTACACGGGGATATAATGCAAGAGTCAGTTAGAGCTCGCTATTTCCCACCTGACTTTTAAAAAATATAGACTGTGTATTTTTTCAATCCTTATCAAAAAATTATTTATTTCTGATCTACTCAGATTGGGGCTGAACATCCTCCACCCAGATCCTCCGAATTCCAGTAGGCGGGGGTCACACCCATCAACTGGCCCCCTGATGCCTTGTAATCTCATCAACGGCCAAGACTCAGAGACTATAAAACCCAATGCCCGGAACCGCGTGGCCACATTCGCGGCTGCGCGACATCTTATTATGACATCTTATTATCTCATTCCTACTTTGGACAAACTGGCAGGCTACTGAATGTAACCTGCCCGCAGAGCAGAGTCTGGCAAACTCCACGTGGCATACCCAATATGCCAAATACCAGTAACAATGATGGGTCTCATTCTCCTAAAGAGCCTTGAATATAATCTCAGGGCTAGGATGAAAGGGACGTTACTGGGGCCTGCTCGAGGCAATCGATGAATAACAGGATGGTCGTGATTCATGATTCGTGATATTTATTTCTGTTTTTTATTTTTTTTATTAGTGAAACACCATGAGGTACAGTTATAGACTTAGAAATTTTTGTGCTTGAGTTTCAGCCATACAATGATCAAATACCCATCCCTCCACCAGCGCCCATCCTCCACCACCACGGGTCCCAGCATCCCTCCCACTCCCCACCCCCCCCATCCCACCCTTCCTCTCTGGCAGGGCATTCCCTTTTGTTCTCTCTCTCTGCTTTGGGGTCCTGTGGTTTGCAAGAGAGGCATTGAGTGATTGAGTGTCAGTCATGTTTGGTCTGTAGTCTACTTTCAGCATGCTTCTCCCACCCTGGGAGGATCCTCACAACACCCTTTATTTGGTGCTCACTTCTCTATCTGAGCTTCCTTTTCCCCTAGCACGTGTGGCTGGCCTCCAAGTCATGGAACAAAATTCCTGGTACTAATCTCAGCCACTCCTGGATGTTATTATCCCATTTTGTTGCTTTATGTTCCCCAGATGAATGCAATCTTTCTGTGTCTATCCCGCTCTTTCTGACTGATTTTGCTTAACATGATACTTTCCATGTAGTACCACTTATATGTAAATTTCATCACTTCATCTTTTCTAACAGCTACATAGTACTCCATTTTGTATATGTACCAAAGTTTCTTTCACCAGTCATCTGTTCTCAGGCAGACTGTGTATTTTTTGAACTTAGGAAGTTGGTAAAGAAGACACTGATATAAAATGTTTCACCTGAGCACTCCCAATTAGTCATCTATCGAGTCTTTTTTGAATTCATAAATGGCTAGCTGGAAAGGAGATATGGCCGACGAGGAAGTACAAAGGGCTAGAACGTATTCTTTGCATAGGGAAGCTCTGAATTTCAGGGCCGTCACTGCATGGTCTCCCGAGCTCCCCTGGAACAACCTCTGAGCATCACTGGTTGTGCCCCCAACACCAAAATTAAAAGAGAAGCTAAAACAACAACAACTCTAAATGAGTAGTTGGGATGTCTTGGTCCAGACAGGGCTCAAACTAGGAGGGGTATGGTGAAGAAAAGCAGAGAAAAGAGCTTCTAATAAGACCAAAAAAGGGAACATGCATTCCTTAAGGCCAGTAAATCTCAGGAGACATGACATTGCCATTGAACTGGAATATTCCAAATGTTACAGTGACAGCCATGGCTTCATCCTTCCCTCATCAAAAGGTCTCGGCTAAATATGTCCAGGGCTTTGTTTTCAACACTGACTTCCGCTTTCCCTCTAATTCCTTGTTCCTACCTCTGTTGGCTGTTTCTTCCCTCCTTTGTTCTCCTTCTTGTTCTACCTTCCATCCTCTTTCATTTTTTCTTTCTCTCTCACGTTTTTTCTCCTTTCCACTCTGCCAAGGACTGAAGAACTGAAAGGAATCCGTTCTTATGATTAGGCTGTATGAAAGAGAACTCACAAAAAGGCCAAAAAAAAAAAAAAAGAAAAGAAAAGAGGAAAAAACCCACTGTCATAAAGAGGTGAAGTAATTCTCTCAAGGTGATCCAGGGTGGGTAACACTCACATGACCCAATGGGCTTTGATCATACCACTGTCCCCCATCCCCTGATTTTTGGCTGACTACAAACTGCATAAAGGTTCAATTGGATTCCATGATAAAGAGCTCTGGACAGCAAACAGCCCAAGGTTATCTCTCCAGATAGCCTTAAACCTTACTCCTTGCCCGAAGCTCCCATCTCATAGTTGCCTCATAGTACCTACTTTTCTGGACCATGGTTGGGATTTTTGTTGCACGTGAAACTTACCTGTTACATAGCACTTGACTTTCTTCTTTTCCTCACCTACTCTGACCAAAAATGCTTCCTCATCCTTTCACACGCATCTCTGAAACTTATCTGCTCCTCACAGCTGAACTATTTGCTCAGTATAGAATTGATTTTTGTTACAATACTTGATATCTGGGGGATTTGTTTTGTTTTTGTTTGTATGGCTTTTGCCCTACCCTGGACTCTGAATTCCCAAAGAGAAGGAATGGGTCTCGTCTCTTGGCCCCATAGTTTATGTTCACTGAATAAGAGCTGTTTCTTCTACAAGAAAAGCATCATTTCCATGTAACCTACCTGTCATCGTGTCAGCAGTGCAGAAGTGCAGAAATTTGGAACCATCTGAACATGCCAATTTATATATATGGACATTTGGGGCTGGAGCGATAGCATAGCGGGTAGGGCATTTGCCTTGCATGCTGCTGACCCAGATTCGATTCCCAGCATCTCATATGGTCCCCTGAGCACCGCCAGGAGTGATTCTTGAGTGCAGAGCCAGGAGTAAATCCCTGAGCATCACCAGGTGTGACCCAAAAAGCAATAAATAAATAAATGGACATTTGACTCTATAAAGTTTTTAATCAATTCCACATGTTCATCGCTCATTTTTCTCTAAATCAGGGGTTCTGTTAGTGATTTCAGTAAAACTGATTTAGAAAATTCAGCATTTACATTTCAAAAATAATACTTTGTGTAATAAATGTTATTTTTTTCACCAGAAAATGTACACAAACACAAAGTAATGACTTTTTCAAGATTTTATTATAATAAAACTTTGGGATAACAATCACTCTTTTCTATGTGCTTTCTTCATATTTATAAGGAAGAAGTGTTCCACTATTAAAATAAGTATAGCTTTAGAAGTTTAGTGTACTATATTATAGAAATTATCCGTATTATTCTACCTTGGCCTAATTATGTGATATCTTAGACCAAAGTGAAAATATAAAACATCATGTTACATCAAGGTAAAATAATGTTTATAATACATGTTGTATATAGTACATACATATGTTTCATATATGTAATGCACACAATTTCTAATTTCATAGTTGATGTCAACTGTTTCCTTAAATTTATGGATACATATATTTACATGTGTGTATGTGGTGCATGTATGAACATGTACTTGTTAACTATAACTTCGCATACATATATGTCTATTTTCCATACATATATATGTGCATATATCCTATATGACCTGCTATCACTCACTGTTAATACCTGCCTCCTTCATCCTTGGAGGGTAGCTGAAGATTTCCAGACACAGAGATTTAATAGCACATCTGACATTCTGGATCAAGGAGCATTAATGCAACCAGCAAACTGCAAATGCTCTTAGGCCGGGAGCCACCGTCATGAAATTCCGAGTAGAGTGTGTTCTGCAGATTGTGTTGTTTACTCTGTTGGGATCTCTCCTGTCATTTGTTTTGTGCTCTGGTGAACAATTTTGAGTCGTAAATGACAGACAAATTGTGCAAGTGATAGTGCTGAATCTGTCATAAAACAAAGAAGGGGTGTTAAGCTGGAAGTTGCAATGTAGGTTTTCCTGTGGCTTGAGACTTTGATTTTTCAAAGAAATAGAAAGGCCCTGTGAAAGATTAGCAGGCCTTTAGGAACTGGTTCAAGTTTTCTCAACGTTTTTAGGGAATGTATTGCACGCATCTCTTCCACCGGGGAGAATTGACTCCATATGACTTGGTGTGTGTCAGCACCTTGAGGAATCGGAGGGAAATGTGTTTGGTATCTCCCTTCTCCATTTTGAAATGCCCCTTAAATGCTGCTTTCAGCACTCCAGCCCCCTGCTGTCCAGGTCCACAAAATAGGCTTGTATATTGTTCTGGCATCTTTTAACCTGTTTACCTCATACTCATTTCACACCAGACATGCTAGCTGTAGGTGTTATTTTTTTCTTTGTAGTCTTACCTTTTCTCAAAGGAGAAAGATAACCGTGGTTTATTTACATTTGAGATATTTCCTCTTAAAGAACCTTAGAGTCACTGGTTGTCATAAGACAGTATCTGGGGACAGGATGCAGAACATAGAGCTTGACAAGTTCCTAATTGATCAGTTCTGCCAGTATGGAGGACCCGTCACTCATAAAAGACAGAGATCTTGGTTTGTCTTTGCATTTCATTTAGGAAGATTTTCCCATGGATAGCCTGTGAGTGTAGGGTTTCCGGTGACTTCACCCCAGCTCTTCATTCCAGCTTTCCCTTTGAATATTGGCTATGGATTGTGTGTGTGTGTGTGTGTGTGTGTATGTGCGTGTGTGCGCACGCGCGTGCGTGCGTGCACGTCCATGTGTATCTGCGTGTGTGTGGAGTAAAGGTTAAAACTCTGGAGGGTTGACAGCTCTGTATTTCACAAGAGGAGGATGGAGCCAGGATCAGGTGGCTCTGTGTACTTTGGAAAATCAGGAAGTTTGGGAGCTGAGAAAGGCCAGCTTCCTCGTGCTGCCTCACAGGTACCACGCCGGTCCCTTCAGTAATGATTAACCACCGAGTCTGAGCTGACTCCGGATGAAGGAGAAAGAAAGCTGGCACCTAGATGAAGCTCTACTCCGAAGTCATACAGAAAATGTTTGTTTTTTTCTATAGGTTCGAACCTGTGTCCTCCCTGAACATAAGGATCCCCCAGCAGAGGTTGGGGTAAGTGTTTATGCTTCCAAAAGATATACACATGGCTTCTAAGTAAATTATCTGTGGTTTCTTTTTCTTTTTTTTTTTTTCCTGGCATCCTGCCTGGGAGCTGACAAATGAAATTGAATTAACTGAACAGGGTGTGACTATGCAAGGAGGCACTGTCATTTCCTTGCTGAATTACACGGAATTCATTCCTTGTCTCCAGAAAATCAACCTCTTGGATGAAGTCATGTTTAGTTCACCGGGCTCCAGATGAATTTCGAGATTGCCCTGCAGGTGTCTGAGAGGGGATTTGGGGTCTGGCATGCCTGGACCAACAGGAAGTAGAGAAACTGCAGATGTGGTGCTGTGCCACTGTGGGAGGGAAGGAGAGGAACAGCCACGGGTTGGTTTATTATTCCTGCTATTTAAACACTGTCAGGCGAGTCTGCTACCGATGCAGTTCTCAGTTGGAAAGTTCTGCTCAGGTTTTCTTGATGCATCTGAGCCCTCACATCTCCAGCCTTCAGAAGTGGCAAGGGCGAGATTAATAATAGCTGTGCCTTGCCTAAGTGGAGCCAGAAAAGGTGACGGCAGCTCCTAAAGTGATAACCCGGCAGGCTGGATGCACCTGGAATTGTGTGCATGTAGAGAGGAAGGAAAAGCCAGAAAGAAGGGCCAGAAAACTCAGGGGCACTGAGGCAGAGCAGCAACTGAAATGCCTACTTGAAACTCCCGAAACCTACTGGCAGTTGACAGCCCCTTCTCAGGGTTATGGGAAGCACCTCTCAGTACCTCTCATTGGCTTGTGGTAATAGCAGTTCCTGAAAATGCCCAGAGGAACACCCCCAAAATCTGGCACCCGGTGTCAGAGGAATCGTCAGCGTGTCTCTGCATCTAATAACAAAGGACAAGTGCTGCATGTGAACAGCTGCACACAGCTTCTTAGCTTCATCCGGGGGACAGTGGAATAGTGCTGGCTCGGTGAGACTGGGAGCTTGGTTTCTGCCTTTTGGCTGGGCTCATGCAGACCTTCAAGTTAGGGCTCTGAATGCACGAGCTTGTCTCTAGTGCATCCAAAGGGCCAGTAGCTCTTTCCAGCCCAGGGCTGTGGGTGTTACAAATGCCCCTCTGCATGTTGGGAGTTTTGGTATATGTTTATAGGAAACAAGGTCCCAAACTCCAGCTTGAGCACCAGTGGAGAATGACTGGTTAGCAGGTAGCTCGTCAGTTAATTTTCAAAGTACTCCTTTGAATACTCGAGAAAGGGTCTGAGAGTTGAAGTTCTTGGCCAAGGATCTTCATGACCACATGTGAAGGCAAAAGCTTCGAAGAATGCAAAAGCGAAAAAGTTGCTGGGTTTCTTTTGCTTTCTCAATTTTCAAAGGTGTCCCATTCATTTCTTGGCAAATTTCACCTCGATTTTGTTTAAAATACACTTTTTAAGTTTTTTTTTCTTGCTTTATCGTGCAGTTTTGTTGTGAAATAATTGGCCTGCTTCACTGTCTTAGTGTTGGGCTTCCAGCCAGATGGGTTGCTTGACTTATCTTGTGAGATGATTGCCTTGCCATGCATCCGTCTAATGCCCTTGGCCTTGCTCTGTTCGACGCAGGCCATGTTTCAGCCTCAGCCTTCTCTGCTTGGGTTCTCTCAGTGGTATCTGATTCTTAAATGCTTGTTATTCTCGTGAGGGGAGCAAAATCAGGGGTGTGTGTGTGTGTGTCCCTGTGATGCCACTCAGATTTGTGTTCTGTGTATTCCAGCCCTAGATGAGCCTCGGGGCTCCCTCAGGTAAGGCTCTGCGGCCAAGCTTTATTCCTTTCCTCAGTGAGTTTTATTTCATTTTTGTGGCGCTGGTGCTTGAATCTCCTATGTTCAACTGTAAGTGCTATACTGCTGAGTCACATTCCTGGCCCCTTCTTTGCATTATTTTTATTTCTGGCAGACCACACCCTATGGCAGTCAGGGTGTACTCTTGGCTCTTTGCTCGTGGATTACTTCTGATAATGATCAGGTGGCCATATATGGTGCAAGGTTTTTACCCGGGCTTAGCCTTGTGCAAGGCAAGTATCTCAACCCCTGCCCCATCTCTGGCCCTTCTTTGCTGCCTTAAGCAGCGTCTCCTAGATCGTGTGCTGATGACGGGTCCAGCAGAGAGCAGCCTGTGCTCCGAGTCCTTTATTCAGTTAAGACATCGTTTTACTTTTTTACTTCTTTCCCCTAAATTGTCTCCCAGTGTTTTCTTGGTGATGTTTGCATTAAGGTTTAGTAGAATTACTCCCTGAATTCTAAATTTGGTATTCTAAATTTAGTAGAATTTTTTTCTATGGCTTTTGGATACATTTTTATTTATTCACATGTATTTAGTCAATGGTCTACTCATTGAATTAATCTGTGAATAGATATCAGGGTATTTGTTTAAATATGCAAAAAGAGGGAGTCAAAAGAACATTCTCCAGATTACCAGGTAATTCAGTTACACCAAAAGGATGTTTTCTTTTGACTAGACGATGCCTATTCTCAGTGGGCATAGTTCACATTTCCTCTTTCCTTCCTCGGAGTGGCCAACCATGTAACCATATATGTTAGAAAGAAAGACCCAGTTATGGAAAAAGGGTCTGTCTTGTAAGATGTACAGGGGATGGTTTATATCTACCTTGAAAGTAATTCTTATGTTATATTGAATACAATATATGGAAATTATCATGATTAAATATAATACATACAAGAACTCGTGCACACAGTGCCCTGCCCACAGCGGGGAGAAGGGCTAGAGTGATAGCACAGTGGTAGGGCGTTTGCCTTGCGTGCATCCAGCCTGGTCGAGCCACGTTTGATTCCTCCGCCCCTCTCAGAGAGCCTGGCAAGCTTCCGATAGTATTCAATATGCCAAACTCAGTAACAAGAAGTCTCACAATGGAGATGTTACTGGGCCCGCTCGAGCAAATCGATGAACAACGGGAGGACAGTGACAGTGACATACAAGAAACAATATGTTCCACACTCCTGTTTTCTTACCATGTTTTAGAAATTCAGTGTCTATAGAAACGGGTGAAATTAATTCCAATGTATTATTTAACCTAATATCTATGGATTGCAACTTATCATTTCAAAAAGTAATCAGTAGTATAGAGTAATTAAGTTCATACTCTTTTCTCAAACCCTGTCTAGAAATCTGAAGTACATTTGATGCTCAGAGCACACCTTGTTGCCATAAGCTAGAGCTCACAGTGATAACCCAGTGATTAGCACAGTGCCATCACATACTTGGAAGGACCATGCAAATTGCAGTAGCTTGGAAGCCTATTACCTTGAGTAAAGGCTTTGTGAGCTGAAGATACGTGTGACAAGGCTTGGCAGGCTTCTGAAAATGCTCTTTGCCCAAGATTGAGTCATCCCCCATTCCCCCCACCCAACACACACACACACACACACACAAACACACACACACACACACACACACACCCTTTCCTGGCCTGCTTGGTACCTCTCTCCGGCCAGGTGAGTGTTTTGTGATTGTGTGGTTGCCTACTGTGGGCGCTTGTCTGGAAACAAGGATGCTGAGGAAGGAGGAGTACATGCTGGGCAGAAAATTGTTACCTGTATGGTGTTTACGTGTATGTGTGTGTGTGTGTGTGTGTGTGTGTGTTTACATACATGTACCTGCGTGTATCTGTTTTAATATGTCTTGGTTTTAAAAACTATGTTTAACTATGCCACCTTGGGCATTTCTCATACACTCGCTTAGTGGGTGGTGGTGGTAGTTGCTGGTGCCAGGGACCGACCTAGTGGTTTCAGATGAGCTGGGGGTTGAACCCAGGGTCTCTCACTCAAACCTGCCTAACTCTCCACCACCTGAGCCAGGGCTCCAGCCGCTAGGCTGATACTATTCTGGAAGACTCTTTGGACTTAAGATGCTACCTAGACACTGAGCCACTGAGGGCATGGTTTGATCCAGATGCCAGCTCTTTTCCTGCTTCCTGGAAAGGTACTTGTGAGCACTGTTTCTGACCTGCCTCATGGCACTTACGGGAAAGGGCCTTTTTCCCGTGGAATGTCTATCAGTCTCAGTCTGAGAGTGGCCCCCTCAACAGCACAGGTGTGCAAGCGGGACTGAGGCTAGGCTGTCTGGGGCTGTGGGACCAACCACATCGCCTGGATCTCGCTGGAGGTCAGAATCATTGATTTAGGGCTTCGTGCAAGCCACTCTGCACAGAACTGAGTGAGCCTTTAGATGCTGTTTGTCTTTAAAAACTATTTCCCTGGGCATTGGAGTTTCCAGCTTAAAACCTGTTAGAGGTGGATTTTAAGCATCAAAGGAGAGAGAAAAGCTTTTTTCCTTGCGTTAAATTTGTAGTAAAAAAAAATTGACGTTTTGGAAAGAATTCTCTTGAACAGCATGATTTTGATGACAGTGACAGTCAATTGAAATGGCTTGACTGTTACACTGAATGTTATTTTCCTTTCTTGGGAATTCAGATTTCAGAAATAAAGAAACCTGGTTTCCTTGTAATTCATTCTTTGGCCAGGAGTTCCAGTGAATATTCACATACATGTGAATAAATTCTTATATAAATGTTATAAGTAAGCCCTCACTCTATTTATAACAAGTCTAACTACATGAAAAATCTGCTACAGAACCCACATACAGTCCATTTCATCATTTCTATACTTCCCTGTGAAACAATCCTACATGATTTGGAGAATTTTTTTTCATACATTCTCCACACCATATCATTCCAATGCCTAATGGAGTGTATTATATTTGGAATAATGAAGATATTTCTTTTTTTTTTCTTTTTGGGTTACACCCAGTTATGCTCAGGGGTTACTCAGGCTCTGCACTCAGGAATTACTCCTGGTGATGCTCAGGAGACCATATGGGATGCCGGGGATTGAATCCAGGTCGGACACATGCAAGGCAAATGCCCTACCTGCTGTGCTATCACTCTGGCCCCTGATATTTCTACTGAAGTAGCACCCCTCCCCCAACCCAAGGTTGGACACATTGTCACCCTGTAATGTCAGTGGTTAGATGCATTTGGCACAGGTTGTGTTTATTATTATTTCTATAAACTGGCTTCTCCTCCTCCTGAAAGTCAGCACGTGACCGACTGCTGTGATGGCAGAGATGGGCGCGTGGGTTTGGCCCTTGGTGCAGGGCCAGGCGGGATGTGGCCAGCTCACTGCAGTGCCTCTGAGGCAGCTGCCAGCTGCCTTGATGCGGTCTCTGCAGCGATCATGGGCAACAGAGAGCCACGTGGTGACTCTAGTCCCAAACTTTCCTTGCAGCTGTGCCCCCCCGTGCACCTGTGTCTTTCCAGAAATAGGCTCTTCACCTGTCTCTCCTTGCCACATTCCAGTCTGGACTATTTGTCATTTGCTGCCTTTCTCGCCAGGAAGCTCGCAATGGCATTTTTGACATATTTAGTTCGTTTGATTGACCTATGCCTTCTCCAAATCGAAAGGCAAAGAAAAATCATTTGAAAATGTGTGTGTGTGTGGGAGGGGGAAGTATTGTGAAATTTCCGATTAGTCCTTTTTTGTTGGTGAGGATCGGGGAGAAGGGGACTTTAGTTAAAAACTTTGTTTATCAGTGCTGGGGAGGTAGTACAAAGGGTTTCAATTCCCTGGCAGCTCGTATGATCCCATGGGCACTGCCGGGAGTGATTCCTGAGCAGAGAGCCAGGAGCGACCCCTGTGCACTGCTGGTGCAGAAACCCTGATCATCCATGAAAGAAAAGTGAGGAGAAAATATATATTTATTGTCTGGGAACCACTACTGACTGTGCTGAGGACTTACTCCTGGCTTCCTGCTCAGCAATCACTCCTGGCTGGGCTTGGAGAATGATATGTGATCTTGAGATAGACTCAGGGTTGGCTATATGCAAGGCAGATGGCTTACCTACTCTTTTTTTTTTCTTTTTTGGGTCACACTCAGCAATATACAGGGGTTACTCGTAGCTCAGGTACTGAGGAATTGCTCCTGGCTATGCTCAGAGAACCATATGGGATGCTGGGAATCAAACCTGGGTCGGTTGCGTGCAAGGCAAATGCCGCTATGCTATCGCTCCAGCCTCCACAGAGGCAGGATGGGACGGGGGGGGGGGGGGGATGGGGGGGGGATGCTGGGACCCATGGGGATGGATGACGGGCACTGGTGGAGGGATGGGCACTTGATCATTGTATAACTGAAACCCAAGCACAAAATTTGTAAGCCTATAACTGTACCTCATGGTTTTTCACTAATAAGAAAAATAAAAAATTTAAAAAAATGGGAGAAAATAGTCCCACACCATGCATCTGAAAGGATTAATATACAAGTCATACAAAGCACTCACGGCAAAAAAAAAAACCCTGATAGACTCATCAAAAATGGGGAACTGAGGAGATGGTTCTCCAAAGAAAGTATATAGATGGTCAACAGGTATATGAAAAAAGTAAGTCACCCTTACAGATTGTTAGAAAAATGCAATTGAAAATGAGATTCAGCTATCACCTCACTCCAGTGTGAATGTTCTGCTTTTTGTTCATCAATTGTCAATTGCCTCGAGCAGGCCCCAGTAATGTCTCCTTTGTCCTAGCCCTGAGGTTTTACAAAAGTGCCATATTCAAGGCTCTTTCAGGATTAGGAGAACAAGACCCATCATTGTTACTGGTATTTGGCATATTGGGCATGCCACAGAGAGTTTGCCAGACTCTGCCGTGTGGGCAGGTAACCTACAGTAACCTGCCAGGTTGTCTAAAGTAAGAATGAGTTAATAAGACCACCACCATGCCGAGACCACTCTCCACACTCATGAAGGCACCAGCAGAGGAACAAAGGCATGCGGGTCTCAGGGCTGAGATCCAAGCCTGCTCAGATCAGGGCTGAGCATCCTCCAGCCAGATCCTCCACCTTCCAGTAGGCAGGGGTCACACCCACCATCTGATCCCCAGCGTCGTGTAATCCCATCAATGGCCAAGACTCAGAGACTATAAAACCCAGCTCCCGGAAGAGAAAAGTGCAGAGTCTCCTGCCCCTGTGCCTGGCTGTCCTCGCCGGGGCCCCTTGGAGGGGGGCGGGTTGAGTTTCTCTCCCCACCCCAAACAGAGCTCCAGCAGCCGAAGACCTCCAGAACCAGCCACCACCATGCTTTTTGTATGTCTGGAAATAATTCATGGAACGCTCTGTGAGAAAGGAGCCCTCATTCACTGTTGGTAGGACTGTCAATTGGTTCAGGTTCTGTGAGAAACTATCTGGAAACTTCTATAAAAAAATTAATAAATTTAACTTCTATATTAAAAAAATATTGATTGAAATTCTGTGGTTTAAAAGGACATTTTTTTTTAAAAAAAAGTACAGAATGTGAAATTTAATACCATAGTCAAAAACTGCTTTACATTTGCCTGTGTCAGTTTATATTATAAAATATAATAGTGCATAGTTTATATTATAGAAAGAGTGTTTCTTTGGACCTGGTAGTACAACATACTTGGAAGTGTTTCTGCCGTTTATTGCCATAAATATCGCACGCCTTTTGTGTACAAAACAGTGTGAGTTTATTGGAAAAAAATGGAATGGAACTTCACAAGTAACTGACTTCAAGCCTTAAAAATGTGGGAGGGATTAAGGAAGCACTTAAGTATGTAATGTGTCTGAAGGTCATAGTCACTGTCCTCCTGTTGTTCATCGATTAGCTCAAGTGGGCCCAGTAACATTTCCATTGTGAGACTTGTTACTGTGTTTGGCATATCGAATCCATCATGGGTAGCTTGCCACGCTTTGCCATGTGGGCGAGATACTCTCAGTAACTTGCTAGACTCTCCGAGAAGGGCGGAGGAATCGAACCCGGGTCGTCCGGGTCAGCCACGTGCAAGACAAATGCCCGACCTGATGTCTGATGGTAATAAATATTAATAGGAAAAAAAGGGTCAGGCATAGATAGATTAGCTATTAGAGACGTGTTGTGTCAGAAAGGGGTATTCCTTAATCTCATTAATATTATCATTACTAAGGGGAGGACCACACTTGGCATTGCTCAGGGATCACTCCTGATGGTGCTCTGGAGAAAATATGTGGTACTAGGGATCAAAGCCGGTAATCTCTGTGCAAGACAAGTGCTTTCCCTGCTCTTCTATCTCTCTGAACTTTAAAGGCAGGGGGTTGGGGGAGGTTCTTCTTTATACCAGGATGTATAGTGGGTGTCTCTGAGGCAGTGATGCAAATATTTTTGTTCAGTTCTCTATCTCTAAGCCTCCTCTACCACCTGCTAAAAACTCACCCCAAGTTTCTACGTGCTCTGTTTCTATAGCTCTTGGACTTCTTTTTTTCTAAATCTCCCTCACTCTTAATTTATCAGAGCTTTTTTTCTCCAGTCCTCAATTTTCACAAAACGTCTCACACCTAGTAGTTTGGTGTCATATGCCTCTGACCAGGGTGTTTAGAGGAACTCTGAGATTGTTAGTTAAACGGTGCTATTGTATAATACACTGTCATCTCCAACCTTAGAACTGGTGTGTATCCCATGGTGTATAGGTTTGTCTATAATCCCTTTGAATAAATTCTTCCAAATCGAATTTTTGGAAATGAAGGAAAATTCTAGTCTGAAGCTTTACTTTCCAACAGCCTGTAGGTGTATACATCACCTTTTATATGCACAATATGTGCCTTCTTAATTCTGAAAAGACTCAATTGCCCCAGACTCTTTAAGTCTAGTCTCTTATTCTAGTTTAGCCTGGCTAGACCTATGAAGAGAGAATGTTCTAGGAGTTGTAGTATTGGCTTCTTGTTGGTTAGGACCAAGTGTTTAGTTAGCAATGCCATAAGTAATAGTAAAAGTTTGATAGTTTCATGTTTATCTCTAAGCTCAAGGAAAGGGTGAAAAATTCTATTTATCGTATAATATAATCTCATGACTCTTAGAAGTAACCAGGAATGTTAAAAAGAAATGACAGATTTTTACCCTGGAAAAAGAAAAGCCAGTTTATTTTTATTTATTTATTTTTTACATTATAAGTCTAAGACCAAAGAAAGTTGATATTCGTAGATAGTCAATACTCAGTGTAATAGGCTTAAAAAGCAATTTTAGAAATGTAACTGGATAAGTACCATTCTTTTGTGTGCATTGGATGAAACTGTCCCATGTTAGTATAGAAATAACAAAGGAAACAAATGCTTTTCAACATTGCTGTGATGGGGAGAAATACAGCATTTCTATTTATAACTTCTTCAGAGTCCCACATAAAAATAGCTCCAACTAACAGATTTGCTCAGATCTGGAATACAAAGTTGTTGCTGCCAGTGACTTGAAGAATCCTAATAAGAACAATCTGAGCTTTGGTAAATATTGAAAGTTTATCATCTTTTCCTTTTCACCACACTTTTCCTACGGGGTGGGAAATCAGCTCACAGCAGAACCCAAGCTTCTGTGTTTCTCACTGTGTCATTTTCCTGGCTGTGGGTCTCTCCTCTCTCTTGAACGGAAAGGAGGCTTTTGTCCCTTCTCCCACTTCACAGCCCCACGACAGTTGTACCTCAGCACCGTGAGGTGGCTGTGATACTGATTATCATATCTCTTTCAGAGAAATCTATTAACTCGCAGCTTAATAGATGTAATATTTTATTCTTCTAAAGACTAATTTTGCGTGATTGGCATGACAGCAGGTATATTAAGAACCCCGGGAGTTAATGAAACCATTCTTTCTCTCTGATTTACAGCGAAGTTTCCTGGGCTGTGCCAGTTTTAAAGTGGGGGACCTGCTGAAGTCCAAGGATCAGCTTCTGGCTCTGAACCTCAGGTGGGTGTTTCTCCGCAGACCATGACACAAAGCTAACTGCCCATGACATTTGCCGTTGGGGGGCGGGGGGTTGAAACCCACCATTTCTGTGGATGTTCTGAGGTGGTGACTCTCCAGTAACTTCCATAGTCCGCTGCAGCCAGTTACTGTAAATGATTCAAGCTTGCATTCAGATCCATGTTTTGAGGATGGCTCTAGTAGGGAAACCAGTAATTGGTACATTATCATTAAGGTTACGCAATATCTTTGAAGTAGGAAAACAAGTAGAAATGATGAGCATGCTATTACTTTTTCTGCTACTTATCAAAATGTTGCTTTTTAAATCAAGTAAGTTTCTAGGTTTGAAAGGTTTGTTAGATATCGCGTTGAAGGTTATCATCCATCATATCCTTTTACTGATTGCTCTCTTGAGCATAGCTTGTTTCTGTATTAATAAATATAATACAGGCTCGTGTGAAAAGAGGCAGTAGAGCTTAGTTAATGTGGAGCACAAATTCAAACTTTTTATGCTGAAGATCACAGCAGTCTACGAGAAGCCGCTGAATACTCTTTTCATACTGATTTTCAACCCAGATCATCATTTTTTTCTTTGGACTCTATAGTTTGGTAGTACTGGTTGAATGATGTTTTTAAGTACGCTGTTGCTCTGATAATATTTGACTTTGGGAGCTCTATCAAGAGGTGCTTGGGTGCTACTTGCAGCCCTAAGCTTGGGGGTTATTCTAAGAAGTGCAGATGATCACACCCAGGTCTCTAGAATGCAAAGCAAGTGCTCAGCCCTCGAACTATCTCTCCAGATCAATATCTATCCATCGTCGTTTAGCCCAGTTATTCCTATTAGTTATTTCAGTATTATGTTTTGGGGGCCACACCTGCCTGTGCTCGGGTCTTACTCCTGCCTCTGCAATCAGTGATCACTCCTATGGGGCAGTTGATGGGACCCTGTCGGGCACCAGGGATGGAACCCAGATTGGATGCATGCAAGGAAGGCAAGCTCCTTCCTCTGCATGGTCTCTCTGGCCTTCTAATAATTCTCTTTTACAGTTTCTGAATTATCAGATATCTGTGAAGAAGATAAGCACCATTCTTTGGTGCAAAACTTCTACAATCACCTTGAGTCTTTTTGTGGTCCCTGTCACTTTGCGTTGCTTCATAGAAGGTCATTCAGACTCAGGAACATGTGAACATGGAGCACCGTCACCTACCATGCCAAACGTAGTTTGAACCCAACGACCAAATTCCAAACTAATTTTTTTCCCCCACAGAAAATGTTAAGTATGCATCCAGTTTTTAGGCTTTCATCACACTTTCTGAAATACTTTTGTGCTCTTTTGAAGTTGTTGTAGGTGTCTTTTATTGGGAAATGTCCCCAGGAAAGACAGTGGATCATATACATTTTTAATTAAATGCTTAGGTACTAAATTTCCAGTAGAGTATTTCAACATCCCTGTGGGTCTTGCTGTTGCTCTTTATTATTAATCCGTTTTCCTTTAGAGATCACTTACTTTGTTTAGTTATTTTACATTGATAGTTTCTAGTTACTGACTTCTCTTAAATCTAAACCATATTTTGTTTTTTCTACTCTTAACTCATTGCGACATTATATATGTGTATATACGCATATATATGTATGTATATCATCCTAACATGTACTCTATAATGTAAATAAGCTAGTTTTCTTGTATATAAAATTATAATAGGCATGAAATGCACTGGATATTCTTATAATACATGATTTATGCTCAATGATATTAGAGATATTTTTGCATTAACTTGTATCAAATTAAACTATGTTATGACTTTTCTATTTTATAAATTAAGAAACTGAGTTATAGAAAGCAGTAATTTATACTAAGTCCCAGTGCTCTTAAGTGGGAGAATCAAGGTGCGAAGCCACTCAGACTACAATCTGGGAACATTAAGGGCCCATTTCTTGTCTCTTTTGACAAAGAAGAAGCAGAACCCATTGAGGTGGGTCATCTGTCACCTTCTCCAGTGATGGGCTTCAGGTCCAGACTCTGGTTCTTTTTTTTTTTTTTTTTTTTTGCTTTTTGGGTCCATGTTCACACCCAGCAATGCACAGGGGTTACTCCTGGCTTTGTACACAGGAATTACTCCTGGTGGTGCTCAGGGAACCATATGGGATTGTGGGAATCGAACCCTGGTCAGCCATGTGTAAGGCAAATGCCCTATCCACTGTGCTATCGCTCCAGCCCCAGATCCAAACTTTCTTCTTCTTACTTTCTTCCCTGTCAATGTTGTAGGCCTCTTCTCTTCTAGTTGGCAAAGACCAAAGAAGAGTCAGCATGCTGTGGGGAAATTATAAAGCTTAGCCCTGATGGATGGTTGGTTAGGGAAGTGAGGACTAGAATCTTGTCTCACCCAGAACTGTGTCATTTTTGGGACCTAAACCAGTCTCATTGCCCACCAGCAAGACAGTCATTGGCCTCTCAACCAGACCTGAGTCTCTCTCAGAATTGTACCTGCAGAATTTGGGAATGTCACAAAGCTGTCTTATGATATCATGATAGAATGGAGGAGTTCTATCCGTCTCTGGGATGGGATCAGCAGTCAGGGGAAATTTAACTTTGCTCTTGAAGCCAAGGCAGAAAGAAGGTGGAGGGGAGAGTTAGTATAGCTCCTAGGAAGTCCTTCCTAGTCAGAGAGGATCAGATGGAAGGGTCTGGAGAATGTCTCTGTTCTGTTCCATTTGCAATTCAGGGTTTAGTCTGTATCCATTGATTCGGCGGGTATTCACTAACCGTTTTTCATGTGTTACTGATTAAAATGATGGGTTCCTTAGGAAACGTTGAGAAACAGCAAAGTTAGTGCTCTGCAGTGATGTTACTAAGAGAACTGTGAACAAAAAGTCTCTTCTTTTAGTAGAATCTAGCATGCAATGAAATGTCAGATGCTTCTCATGTGTTATCTTATTCCGATTATACAGCAGCACCGTCCCCATCTACCATAACTGGTTTAAGATCCCACAATTGCTGATGGGACAGACAGGGTTAGAATTCAGTGTGATCTGACCCCAGAGCTTGTCTCATTTTTATTTTCCTGCCATTATTTCCTTCTACATTTTACATTTTTTTTTCTGTAAAGCGTTTTAAGGAATATCTCAATTATCTTTTCTAAAAGCTTTAGCTTGAAATTTAATTTTATATATACATATAAATGCAAATATATGTCAGCAACATATTAGAAAATTGATAATTGTTAGAATTTTGATTCATGTTGATGACGTCCTTCCATTTTTATGAACATTAAATGTGGGCCTAGCTCTATTATTTCTAAGTGGTATCAGAGTAAATTAGAAATCTACCTAATTTGAATATGATGCAGTCTGAGCCTTAGCATTAGAATGTATCTGGGACATGTAACCTCTCTGATAGTGAGAGAATGCCTGTATTCTGCTGGAAAAGCTGAATAACTTCTTCAGAATTCACACACAATTTCTGATCAGCTACTTTACTTTGCCACAGACTCTTTCAGTTTATAAGTATTCTATTTTTCCCATAAACTTCTACACACATAACCTCCCCAAATCCGATAGTCATTTGTAGCAGTTTATCAGAGAGAAAGTGAAACATTTTCTTGAATGCATATGTGTAAGAATTTAGTCATTAAAAGGAATCTCTCTCTCTCTCTCTCTCTCTCTCTCTCACACACACACACACACACACACACACACACACACACCCCTCATCTCCCCAAGGCTTGCTGTTGCTGTTCTCAGAGGGATACAGAGGAACTTGTTCTAGTATCTTAGATTTTGGAAGCCCATTTATGTTCTACTGGGACGGAATCATTCATTTCTGGAATTATAGGATGAGTCCGAGGTGAGCAACTAATCAAATTGATTTGACTTTCCATTCCCTTTTCAGAAAAAAGAAATCACTCTGTAGCTTCCTTGGAAATCTACCCCCATCTTAATTGAAGAAACAGAAAGTTCCACCCTCCCCTCTCAACCCCCCCCCCCCCCACCAAACCCCCCAGGTACTCAGTAGTATCTGAGGTTACTACTGTCCCTTCTGGATCACCACTTTGGGAAACTCTGCTGCAAACTGACAATAGAGTTTCAAGGATACATTTCTTTTTCATTTTCTCATGGAATGAAACCTTATCAGAGTTTTAATTTCTTTCCACTACTCTTTTTTCTGCATGTAAAGATTATGTAAGTCTACTTACTGTAAGCTTTAGATGTATCCTTGAAAATGTGAGCATGGTGAATACTTCCGTAACTACAGATTTTTTAAACCAATACTGGCTTGAACTGTAAAGATGATTAAAAATGTCACATCACAGCATCTTAATAGTTATGTGCTCTTTGAATGCATTTAAAGTTTTTTCAGCGTTGGGGACATAGTACAGGGGGAAGACACTTGCTTTGCACGAGCAGCAGTCTAGTCTGATCCCCAGCACCACATAAAGTCCTCCGAGCATAAACAGAAGAGATACTGGGCACAGACCCAGGAATGAATCCTGAGCACCAAAGCATATGGCCCCCAAACAAATAGGAATAAGTAGTAACCAAATCAATAAAAAGGTTTTTTTTTTGACTTTTGTTCGATATCAGAATTAGGAGTACACCAGAACATTCGAATGTTCTCAGAATACTAATTCTTCTAGTTTTCTAGAATTTTTTCTGTATCAAATAAGGGCAGTAGAGAGGCTGGAGTAATAGCACAGCGGGTAGGGCGTTTGCTTTGCATGCGGCTGACCTGGGTTCAATTCCCAGCATCCCATATGGTTCCCTGAGCACCACCAGGGGTAATTCCTGAGCGCAAAGGCAGGAGTAACCCCTGTGCATCGCCTGGTGTGACCCCCCAAAAAAAGCAAAAAGGAAATAAGGGCAGTAGATATTGGTGGCCAAAGACTTCACTAAGAGATGATCATATATTCATTATTTATTCTAAAACAAAATTGTACAAGCCAGAAAGATGCCCAAAGGGCTTGGAGCAGATGCTTTCCGGGGCCCTGGGGGCCCTTGCAGAGTC